ATGCACTGAACATCACAGGCCCAGGCACCAAAACCAGACAAGCCAGAGCAGGGCCACCATCTGGGGCTCAGAGACCACCGTTTGCCCTCCTTCTCATGGGCATTCCCTACAACTAACAACTCCACAGTAGGGGACTTTAGGTTTGGAAGCTGGTCTCCTTGTTTACCAGAGGAGCAAATGTGACTATTTGCACCGATGGCTATATCCCCCACTAAACTCTTCTCAGATGAAAATGAACGCGTCACACCACACACAGTCTTCTGAGATGAATCAATGGGATGCGTGGTGACATAGCGGGGACTCGTCACGTTCAGGAGAGACCCTGGACAGGATGGCAGCTGTATCTCCTGAAGAAAACGTTAGACCACACCATCGGAGACAGGGTCTGAAGCTAGAACAGAACGAACAAAACCCACAGACAGCCCCACCGCGGAATCTGTCCACGACACCGTTAAGATTTCTTTTCTCCCACAAGGAAGGAAAAAACAGGAAATGATACCAGCCCCCATGCCTTCTCTGTGTCCATGCCTGCGTTCCTCACAAGCACCGCGGGCCCCACGGCCCTGGCTCAGCTCTGAGGGGCTTCGCGGGCAGCCCGGGGTCTCTGCGCAGACAGGGAGGATGACTGCTTACTGGTGACCCTTCCTCTCCCACCATGTGGTCCCGAGGACACGGGTTGTTACACTTGCGTGTTAGTGGCGGGAAAGGCAATGTCCTCCCAGGAAGGCTCTAAAAATAACAGAGTAACCTGATTCTCAGTGCAGAGAGTGGCAGGAAGGGAGGCCCCCTATGGCTGCCACACAGGGACTGAGGCCTGACTTCCGAACTTCCTTCCAGGCTTTGGTTCCCACAACCCTCACGTCCAGCCAGTGGACAAAGGGTAGGACCGGGCCTGAGGTCTGGCTGAGACCCCGTCAGTGGCGCAGCTGGGGCTGCCCGTGAAGCAGGTAGTGACACGGATGATGCATGAGCCTGTAGAACACCATCAGAGTGTCACTGATGGGCCTGTCCAAGGGAAGAGAGTTCTGTGGGAAGAAAACACTGCAGAAAACCCACAACCACCTGCCTCTTTGAGAACACTGACGGGAGTCCGACGCCATTCCCAGCCCCGCTCTCTCCGAGCCTCACCAAGGCCTCTGCACTCCACCCCTTCTCCCTTGACCGAAGCTCCAGTATTCCATGGCTCTTCCAGGGGTACCCGTGTTCTCTGCACTCACTGCAGCTGGGCTAACACCACCCAGCACGTGGACCTGCTCCAGAGCGTCCGCACTCTGCCCCGTGCGGCTCCCACCCTGACAGCTGGGCCCTGTGGGCCATCTTCACCCCGCGGGGGCTGGAAAGCAGGAACAGGTGTTCTGGGTGCTTCCATGCGGGAGTGCTGGGCTCTCGGCGGCCCTCATGCAAGCTGCCCACCGCCTGTGGAGCAGCGCTGCCCTACATGGCGTCCCTGTCTCCCTACCAGCCTGGTGGCCACTCGACCTCTTCCTCTCAGCCTCCAATGCGCTCGCTTCCCTAAAGCCAGTCTCATCAGATGTCCTTGTGCAGGGACACACCAAACAGCAGGGCGTTTATAAGACGCGCACCCCAGCAGAGCCACGTGCTCTTAAGCATTTATTTACCAGACGTAAAGCACGGGTCTCTTGGCTTCAAGTTCACCTTCTGTGTGCCCTCTCTTCCAAACTTGGAACACGTGGAAACTCACCTTTGAAGGGCAGGGAACTTGGAACGCTTGGAAACTCACCCTTGAGGGACAAGGACAGGAATCTTGACCTTTGTCCAGTCTCGAATGGTCCACCCAGGGAGTAAAGAGCGTGACAACGTAAACAGCAAAGGACGAGATGGAACCGTGCCCATCAGAAAATGCAGGAGACAGAGGAGAGCGAGGCTAAGCCCTGTACGCACGTCTGAATGGGAGGACATGGCAGTGAGCAGGAGAGACGTGTCATGGGTCACATTCTTCCTCCTTCTTATGGGACAATCAGGTATCCAGACGTCTTTGTCTTCTAAGAATGGCATCAGATTCTTGTCAATTAATTGCTCATCTATTAATTGCTCATCTATTATTAAGATCTGGTGAAATCTTGCCCTAGAGAATCTCAAATTACCAATTAATCTGATAAGAGAGGCAGAAATCTCAATCTCTTGCTACAGAAGGGAGGGAGCATAAGCCCGTGGTGACAAACAGAAAGAACTATTGATATAAAGTTGTTTTATCTGCACCATATATCTTCCATCCAATTGAGGCAGCAAAAGAAGAAGGGAAATGGGCCACGATAATGATTTTTCCTTTAACCCATGCTTGCAGCAGGTGAACGTTCAAGTCCGAAAGGTCTGGCCCAGGAAAGCGCTGCAGAAAAACAAACTTCGAATGCAAAGAAAAAGCCGGCCCTGACAGTGGCTTCGTCTTCCGCTGGAAAGTCAGAAAGCAAGAGGAAACGCTGACCCGAGAGGTCTCTCTTCTGCAGGAACGCTGGCCTCGCACACACCACGGTCATTTCCCCCCAAGGGTCACCCTGAGGCAGAGAACGGTAGCAAGGGTCGTCCTGCTCTAAAGGCACCACCCTCTGCTGTTCATGGTGACACGAAGCTGCTGCTCAGAAGAGTCTTTCCGAGGATGACAGTCCCTTTCCCAGCCCCCTCGTGCTGCAGCTGAGACCCCGGACCCCAGACACGAGAGCAGTAGCCACTTTCCCTGCGAGCACCTTCATCTCACGCTGGGAATGTGCCCTCCTTCCACCCGGTCCTGCCGGCAAGAAAGAAGGTCACAGCACAGCCGTGCAGGAACCCACGGTAATCACACACAAACACACGCGCGCGCACGCACACACCTGTGCACATGACATACACATGACACTCAGATACACACAAATGAATACAGACAACACACATGTACACAAGTGTGCACACAACACACAGATACACACAGACGACTACACACATGTGCACGCATGTGCACGACATACACACGACACAGATGAATACAGACGACATGCACATACATGTGTACGTGACATACACACGACAAATACAGACAACACGCACACACATGTGCACACGACATACACATGATACACAGATACACACAAACGAATACAGACAACACACATGTGCACACGACATACACATGACACACAGATACACACAGATGAATACAGACAACACGCACACACATGCACACATGTGCACAGGGCATACACACAACACACACAGATGAATACGGACAACATGCATGCCCACATGTGCACACGACATACACATGACACACACACACAGATGAATACAGACCATACGCACACACATGTGCACATGACACACACACGACACACAGATACACACAGATGAATACGGACAACACGCACACCCACATGTGCACATAACATATACATCACACACACAGACGTACATAGATATACAGATGAATAGAGACAACACATACACACACACACACACACACACACACACACACACCCCACATCAATGTTTCCCAAGGGAGGGAAAACTCCACAGATTTGGACGGTCTAGAATAAGTAACTGTTGTCCAAACGGTTTGCTTCACAAAGGAACCGAGGAGGTGCCCTGCCTTTGTTGGAACAGCACAGAGCTGAGCCTCCAGCAGGGCGTCGTGTTCAAGTTCCCATCTGAGCTTCTCTGTAAGACGATTCTAAAGACCACGCTCACTGAGAGTTCCCGTTCTAGGACACGGAGCCTGACAACAGACATGGACACATGGAGCTCACCATCCAGGCAAAGAGGGCAGAAATGGGAGGCCGCGTCTCAAAAAAAAGTACTTGAGCAAACGAGTCGACACTCTGATGCAAACTTGAAGAGTCAGCTGCTGAGGACTTCTCTAAAAAACAAGTAAAAGCACCATCTACAGCTCAAAAGGGTCTTGGGTTTCAAGCTGGCTTTGATACACGGTCTGTGGTTTGCGCTCAAAATAAAATATCTTCTGCCCAATCGTGTTAGACTATTGCTAACTGATGAAATTTGCTACCTACAGTATAGCAACTCCTGAAACAAGCTGGCGGAGTGAACTTTGTTGGGAGGTGTGGGCACAGAAAGAAGGCGTGCAGGACCAGAGTGAGAAACGGCACAGACCGTGAGCGGTCCTCCCACACTGCGTGTGACCGACGGCACGGACTGTGAGCGGCCCCTCCCACCCTGCGTGTGACCGACGGCACGGACCGTGAGCGGCCCCTCCCACCCTGCGTGTGACCGACAGCACGGACCGTGAGCGGTCCTCCCACACTGCGTGTGACCGACAGCACGGACCGTGAGCGGTCCTCCCACACTGCGTGTGACCACTGCAACGCGGGCAACTTCTGCATTCATGATGAAGAAACGCCTGAACGGTGAACACTATGACGCAACAGCAAAATCATATGTGGGCAGGACTGCACACACATCTGCACACACGTGCACACACACCTGTGTGCACGTGGCCAGCCACATACTTCCGTTACTTGAAGGAGACACAACGGTTTCACAAAGCACAGCGTCAAAAGCCAGGGTCATTGGTGTGATGACCTGAAAACGGGGCGGCCCGTGTGTCACCCGCCAGGTACACTCTGTGGGCACAGGGCCCCTCGATATGTGTGGGCCAGAAAGGGGAGAAGGAAGAGCACCCGTCCCTGAGGCCATGTCTTCCCCTCTGAAGGAGGACTCATGCCCCAAGGCCTGGACTACTTTTCTGGAGTTTCGACCGGCAAGGAGGCTGTGAGAGCACAGGTGCGGGTCCCACCCGCTCCCCGGGGCCGCTGCGTCCACGCGCCCCGTGGTCCGGGCTGAAGGGCTCTGTTTTGTGGAGAACGGCCCCGAAGCTCAGGCCCCTGGGTCAGAACACTGGGTGACCGACAGGCCGGCTGCCGGCCGGCCTCCCGCCCCCGAGGTACCAGGAATGCCTCCTCCCGTGTCTCTGGGTGAAGACGGGCAGGGTGAGGGCACCCCCACGCCACCCACCCATTGAGCGCCGGGGGCGGAACCCCAGGGCCTCTACTCACTCGGTTCCGGTCACAATGTGGCCGTGGTCCTCCTGGGAAGGCTTGACCTCCAGCCGCAGGCCTTCCGTGGGGCGTCCCTGGGCTCCGGCCGTGAGGTGGGCGTCTTCCTGCGAGGGTCGGGGAACCCAGGGCCGGAACTCGCCGAAGCCGCCCGTGCCGGGCTCTGCGGGAAGCGGCCTCTGCGGCCGCTCCTTGGAGTAGGTCTGACTCCTCACGTCCTCCACCCCGGCGCTCTCCTCCTCCCAAGTCGGGGGGGCCTCGGCGGCCTCTGATTTCTTTGCCTCCATTTTGAAGGGCCCCGAAAGAGGGGGTACGGCAGGAGAGAGTTGGGACCCGGGGTCTGGCAGGCGGTCCCCAAGTTCGAGGCTCAAACGACTGACCTGGCAGAAAGGAGGCTCCGTGAGATGAAGTTTAGGGGGAGGGGCGGGTAGCCGCAGGCAGGGGAAGGAGCAGTTCTGTCACAGCTGCACTCAGACATCCGGTCAGCCAGGGCAGGACGAGGGCCGCGCACATCAGCATCACTCACAGTGAGTGAGTGCATCTGTCTCTGTCTCTCTGTCTCTGGTTCACTTTCTCTGTCTTGGTCACTTTCTCTCTCTGTCTCTCCGTCTCTGTCTCTGTGTCTGTCTGTCTCTGTCTCTGGTTGTCTTTCTCGCTCTGTCACATACACACACACCTTCCTCAAGAATCTGACTTTATAAAATCAGTGTAGGTGTTTGGCATCTAAAGTTTTAAAGAGAGCGCACGTGGATTCTGAGACCCCATCCTACCCCTCTGGAAACAGCGGGCCTCTGACAATGACAGTACTATTTGCATCTACTGAGCTCTTACAATGTACAAAGGCTCTCTCTCAGACACCTGGTCTGCGTGAACCCCCTGAGTCCTCACGATGTCATGCTCGTCCCCATTTCACAGGGAAGTGGAGACACCAGGACCAAGCAGTCACAGGGACACGTGATTGCATCCTCACACCCCCTGAGGGACGCTGGGTCGTCATATGCAAAGGCTTGCCCGTCCTGACCCCCGTTTCCTGGACAAGAGGGCCCTCAGAACCACTTAATTGACATCTCGCTAGATGAACATCATCTTACTCACACAGGGCTGATTATATGCCAGACACTGTGCTCAACGATCTGTGCACATTCGCTCATTTAATTGTCACCCCAGCCTGTGAGCACAGGCCTAGTTTTACCTCTAATCCATAGACTCCGAGGCCTACAGAGGTTAATAATTTGCCCAAGATCACTGAGGCACTGATTGGCAGATCCAGAATTTGAGTGCAGCTCTGACTGATGTCAGGGATGCCACCACTGGACCACACCGCCCTCTCAGACTCCGGCCTGCTTCCAAGGGAAGCGAATGGTCACTCCTGCTGCTGGGGCACACGAAGTGCACGCCCAGGGCACCTCCTCCTGCATACGAGAGCAAGAGACCCCTGCTCATTCTGCAAGGTACGTCCTTTTTCCGCATGAAATCACATCCCCTGGATTATACCGGATGGAAAAAGGAAAAGTGAATTTACTTTATGCTTTCCATTCTCTTCTTAACTAAAAACTGTACATGATGTTTTTCCTTTTGTGTTTTGAAATATGTAAAGAAAACAGTATCTTGGTAAAAACATTTGCTCGAATCTGGATCCTGAACGGGGGCTGTACGTAGCATTTCAGTTACTAAGTAGGGATGGAACACTCTCCTCAAGGCTTTTGAAGGAAAGAGAATTATGTTTTTGCTTAAACTGTGTTCCGTGAGAAAAGGAAACAAAAGATACTAATAAATAAGAGCTCAGAAAACACAACCTCAATACCCATTTGGAAAAAAGTTGCTTGAAAACATACCCCAGGTAACAGAGAAATGAATCAAAATTCAACTTGTTTAGGATGGAAAGGTAGGGTATAAGGACCCTGGGGTCTTCACAGAGTCAACGTGGACTCAAGTGTGTGCCCTGGGGAGACCCAGCAGCCTTGGCTTTGGCCGCACTCGGCCATCGCTGTAACATTCCCTCCACTTCCTAAGTCAAGAAACACGTTCTTAGGCCCACGTCTCCCTCCTCAACTGACACAGAATATCCCCCCATTTCTGATGGACATTTAAGAGGACTGTTGATGTTTTCTTCTGCTACTTGCTAACAGCATCGAACCAAAAACCACTGAAGTAATCTGGAAAGAGAAGTACAAACCAAAAATTTTTTTCCACTCTACAAAAAAACAGAACCACATAGCGTGTGTATCATCGCTCACACACTGATCTTCTGCATCCTTAAGGCTTGTGCCAATGAGCAAAGGTTCTTAAGTAGGAACCCCTCGGTGAGTGGGGGTACCTGTGACTGAGCCCTGCTTCAGACTGCCTTCCCAACCAGCGCTGTCCAACAGGACCTCCGGCGATGATGGAAATGTTCCGTATCGGCACCATCCGATGCCCTCGTTACGAAGCAACACTGGAATGTGGCTAGCACAAGTCGGGAAACATGTTTTTTATTTCCTTAATTTTAATGAACTTAAATTCAGGGTTAAATAGCCGCCGTGTGGCCACTGGCTGCCACGTTAGACAGTGCAGTCCTAACTGTCCAGAGCCTGTGAAGGTCCCTGCTACGTGGAGCTTGGGAGTCAGTGCACACAGGACAGTCACAAGGACATAAAGCAGGCGTTTGATGTAATCGGTCCAGGTAGGAAAATTCTAAGGAATGCTGATTTTCTTACTCGTATTAATTATATTTTTCATATTCCTACAATGGGTATTAGTACATAATCTGAAAGCAGATATTACTATGTATCAAAATATACACAATTTTGTATGCACTCTTTATATTTTTTCCCCTAATTGGGGATTATGAGAGTTTTTTCCATCCTTTTCTGAAAAAAAAACAAACAAAAAAACCTTTCTATATCACATACGTTCCCAAACCACGAACAGAGAGATGGCCAGCCCAGCTCTAGACCTGAGGTGAACCAAACACGCAGAGACGCTCCGTCTTACCTCTTCGTAAGCTCTCCCTCCACCGTCCGGCACTCTGTCATCTGTGGAAGACACAGCGTTATCAGAAGCCTTGTCAAGAATGTCATCGCAGGTGACGCCCACACCAAAGGACCACAGACAGTCCTTCACAGAAGATCGGGCATAATGATGTCGGCCTAATTTCTACTATCAAGCAAACTTTTTCTGTTTATAGTACAATATTAGCCTTCTATAAGCTTCAGGGAAGAGGAGGGGGTTACCAGCTAAAACACAGATGTGAAGTCAGTAACAAATCGCATTACCAGCCTCACGGATCTGTGTGTCATCGTCAGAGTTAGCTCGCGGCAAGAAACCAGTGCCGGCAGCAGTTAATAGTGACAGAAAAGCAAAGTCAGGCGTCTACACCAAACCACCTCAAGTTAAGATGTCTTTACAGTTCATCACTTTTCGCTCATGGTGGTTTCTCTAAATACCCTACCGGCAGTGCCCGATGGTGCGTAACCCGAGAAGTCGTGAAGCCCAAATGCCCAGGCACCTTCTATACCCCTCCTCACCCTCAGAGAGGCAGCAGTCTTTTTATTCTTTGACTGCCTAACACACAGCCTCGTCCTGCTGGAGCTTGTGGTGTCCTGACTCCAGCTTCCGAGCATGCCTTTGTCCCAGCCCACAGAGCAGAGACACATGCACCTTTTCACTTGTGTTTCTGGCACATGTTTTATGTGTGCCTGCTGTGTGCAGGGCACTGCATTAGACACTTTCGTGTAGGTCCAGAGACTCTGAGAAGCAGTCAGTCACAGAGAAGGCCAGTCATCAGGGGAGACGAAACCTGACCTGCTCAGCCCTTAGCCCAAGGGTTCCAGCTGTCGTGTGCGTGCACGCGTGCATATGTGTGTGCATGCATGTGCATGCATGTACATGTGTGCACGCGTGTGTGCGTGCATATGTACGCATGTGCGTGTGTGCATATGTGCATGCGGGCGTGTGTGCATGTGCATGTGCACAGGTGTGCATGAGTGTACATGCGCGCGTGTACGTGTGTGTGCACTGCGTGCATGTACATGTGTGTGTGTTGCATGCATGCGTGCATGTGTGCACACACATGTGCGTGCGTGTATGTACGTGTGTGTGCGTGCGTGTGTGCCTATTGTGTGCGTGTGTGTGCGCATGTGTGCATATGTGAGCGTGTGTGCACGCATGTGCACGCACCCTGGGAGGGTGGGGGGATCTCCGCTCTCTCGCTGGTGCAGCCTCACAGGGTGGCTCTGAGCCTCAAGCAGACATTCAAATGGAGCCTTTTCACTGTATTATTCAAATATTTGACTCCATTCACCCACACAATCCAAACAAAACACTTTCTATCTGGCCTGTTTTTTTCTAACTCTGAACCTCAGCACAGAGAGCAATTTGCCTTTCAACATAATTACTCTGGTAGGCTCAGCCTGTTAAGAAAGCTTTTAGAGGCAAAAGTTCAAACGGAGAAAAATCGTTTCTACAAATCCACCTCTCCTCAGCAGAAGGAACGTGTAACCGCTCGGTGAGCCAGGCCTCTGCACGGCCCCATCCCGCCCCACAGCCCCACAAACCTGAGTGACCCTGGGGCCGGGAGCCTCACCTGGCACGCCTCCACCCTGCCGGCCAACGGCGGACTCTCTCGGCTTTCCCGCGGCTCCCTTCTCGGCACCTCGCGGCTCCCCTTCTGCCCCCACAGCTCGCATGGCGGAGGCAATCGCGCGGGCCACCTCGCCGAGGTCCGGCTGCTCTCCCAGGTCCTTCAGGAGACTCTGGATAAGTGTTTCTGGGGGGCACACACAAGAGCAAGCACAGGAGACACCGGGGAGGAGCGGTCAACACGGAACGAAGGGATGAACGAGCGACCCCAAACGGCACGGCGGGCACCCAGCAGGTGCAGAGAGCGGTGGGACCCCAAGCGGAGCAGTGGAAGTTGTGTCGACGGAAGGCACAGTATCGGCCATTCCAAAACTCACTGCGTGGGCCTAGCAGCAGACCGGACGATGGGGAACAAGGGGTCAGTGAGTCCCGGGATGGAGAACAAGAACTCTCATTCTCTGAAGAACAGAGTAAAACCTGAAAAGACTGCGTGCAACCTCAGTGACCTGCAGAGCCACCTTAGGCACAACGGACCACAGCCAGAGAGCAAGAAGGAGACAGAGAGAGAATGGGACCCAAAAGCCGAAGGGGAAGGGAAAAACCCTCGGCAATTCCCCCGAACTGGGGAAGAGCATTAAGTGTGAAAGCCAAGGCACCCGGCAGACCCCAGAACCAACCCGAGAGCGAGCCACGCAGGGGCATCTCCTGGGAAGGGCAAGGGCAAGACGGCTCCCAACGGCCCCCAGAGGCTGCGACGCGACGCAGGCAGCGGCTGACTTGACGCAGAGCAGGGCGCGAGACACACGCGCGAGACACACGCGCGAGAGTGATGCCTTCACATATTTATAATTAGGTGTTTGATAACACACACAGGAATGACGTATTTGAAGTGTGAAAGAAAAAACTTCTAATTCAGAAGCCCACGTCCAGGGAAGATCTCCTTCCAGCATGAGGGTGACGGAAAGACATGTCCGTATCATTCGAGGAGCCAAGCTAATCTGTCACCAGCAGACCTGCAGGACACGAAACGCCGAGGGAATGACACCGGCTGGAAACACAGGCCTGTGAGAAGTGCTGGAGGCTAGCGGAAGGGCGGCCGGGTGGGCGCACGCGCACGACGGTCTTCCTCTAACGCCTCTATTCCAGGAGGAAGCAGTCACGTCTAACGCAGGGTTTATAAAGCAGGTCGACGGGAGTACCTGCCACCAGAGGGTAACGGAACCGTGCTGTTGTAAGGTTACCACACTCGTCTTACGTGAGGCATCCTGACAACCCTAAGCAGACGATTTTCAACAAAGCTGCCTTAATTCGAAGGCGTTTCAATGGAGAAAGAGAAATATTTTTTCAAAAGATGATCAAACAAAAAACTCTGACGTAACACTTTTATCCAGAATATACATTTAAAAACACCTATAACATCAATAATAATAAAAAGGGACGTTCCAATGAAAATAGGCAAAGGAACTGAACAGACACTTCAGAAAAGAAAATATACAAGTGGCCTGTAAGCACATGGAAAAGTGCTCAGCACCATTACTAATCATCGAAAGGCTAATTAAAGCCACAGTCAGCATATTTCGTGCCTGCTAATATGACTCAATTTTAAAAGACTGAGAACAAATTTTGCAAAGGAAATGTAGCAGCAGGAACTTTTGTACATCCCTGGTAGGAGTAAAGCTTTAGAGCTCCCAGGAAGCCCCTGTGGCAGTTTCTTAGAATAGAATATACCCCTTCCATATACCTAGAAAATGTGCTCAAAAACCTATGTCCATGGAAGAGGCGTATAAGATTGTGTTTAGCAGCCTTATCCGTAATAGCTATACAAAAAAAAAAAAAAAAAATCCAAAAATCCATCAACGGGAGAATGGACGAACTATCTGTCCTTATCTGCACAAGCAGCAATGAACTATGGTCACGTACAAACATCCGGACGGATCCAAAGGGGATTATGTTGAGTGAAAGAAGCCAGACACTGAAGAACACACATGATTCTTTCAGTAGGAGGTGATTCCAGGACCGGGTGGGGCCTATGCAGGGGACAGGGTGTTGGGACAGACCGGGCACAGGAAGACGCTCCCTGGGATGATGGGGATGTCTAATGGCACACTGGTTATGTGTGCACACACGTGTCAACACACTCATTCATACGCTCGGCATCCACACACTTCATGATACGTAAATCTCACTCCGTAACCGTAATGTTTAACGGAGTCCTGTTTCTGACGTGGGGGCAGGGGGCCGGCTTTTTTCCTGAGTATTTAATGCTGGCTAAATGTGTCACTGGTTCCTAAGTGAAGGTTCATGTAAGATGATTATTCTCATGACTTTGCTCCCGAAGAACAGTGACCTAGTGAGAGTTCACACTTCCCATGGCTTCATTCAGGCGATCCTCTGAACTAAGTTGGGGGGGCATCATTCCCCGCTTCTTACAAATTAAGAAATTTAGGCTTTTTGTATTTTTTAACATTTCCATCTTTGGGAACTAAACTAGAGTTGCACACGTAATTCCCTGTAGCACTTTCCCTCTCTTGCCCGCCAACAGGCATGAGAAGTTCTCAGCGCTCATGATTCAGCAGGACCCCTGCCCTCACACCAAACAGAAGCCAAGCGTCTGCTCTGAAAAGGCACTTGCAGAAAAAAGAAGGTCCACGGTGACCCACGTTTGCCAAATCCACTCCAGCAGCCTTTCCTTTCATCACGGCGACAACGAGAAACAATCCTGACAGAAACCGCGGCAAGAAAACACCACAGTCACTCGCCACATGCAGACCCGACCACTCGTGCAACACAGGGGTAGACGGACGCGGGGCCCACGGCGTTGAGGGACCGGCAGGCACAGCGCTGGCCCAGGAGGAGGAAAGAGCGCAGGGGCCTCACCCACAGAGGCAGACAGGAGCACAGCGCCAGGCCGTGTCTGCTTTCTGCGTGGACCCGTTAGCACAGGCAACTGCCCGGTGTCGGCCGTGAACCCCACTGCTGGCAGCACTGGATTCCTGTCCACTTTCTCAAGCCTCACAATTCTGGAATCTGCAAGGGTTTCCCCTTTCTCGGTGATAGGTGTAGCGGAGACTTTGGTTTCTAAGAACACATTTAAAATTCTCACCAGTCACTACGTGGCCCCTATGGTGCTCCGCCCCCGGGGCTGCCGAGCCAGATTCGCATGAAGAAAAGTTGACCCCTTTCTGGGGGGTTGGGGGGGAAGCGTGCACTCTGCCGCTTAGGAGAAACAGTGCTACGTGCGTCCAAACATTGCTTCAGGGAGCTGAGAGCTGATGAGGCTGCACACACAGATCTGGCCCCACGCGGGTACGGACTCCTCTCCCCACGGGCACTCCCAGGGTGTGGTCGGGGCAAGCCTCTTACTCTCACTCTCACTGGTGCTTAGTTCCCTTCTGTGTAAAATGGGAACAAGTGAGCCAGGCCTGAGAAGCACTTCCCTGGGGCAGCACCACGAGTGACAGCTCTAAGTATGACCACGATGAGGCGCTGATGGTCACGAGTCATGTAGCCCTCCACTGCTTTTCGTCCCTCACGACCCATCATGAACACAGAGGGTGGGGTGTCCGTGCTGAGCTCCGGCTACAGTTCAGCGTCTTCGCAAGCAAGAAGCAGAGAACACGCCGTGTGTGCCCCAGAACGCTTACTTGTGCCAAGTGATGCTGCCTCCCAGTTGGTTCAACATTCGACGTAAGATTGCGCTTTGTGAGACGGTTCTTTGCCAAAGTATTCATGTGCAGTTAAAGATGTGTGAAAACTCAGTTATTAAAGTCAGACCCCAGGCTCCACCCATCTACTCTCTCACCTGTTCCTCCACCCGACCAACCCACTCACCCATCCACCCACCTATCCTATCCACCCATCCACCCACCTATCCACCCATCCACCCACCCATCCACTCTCCCACCCACCGACCCACACATCCATCCACCCACACATCCACTCACCCACCCTCTCATCCCCCCACCCATACACGCATCCCCCACCCACCTCTCACCCCCCACCCACATATGCACCCACCCACCCATCCACCCACCAACCCCCTCACGCATCCACCCACCCACCCATCCAATCTCCCACTCACCCATCCACCCACCCACCCACTCTCCCACCCACACATCCACCCACCTATCCAGTCTCCCACCCACCCATCCACTCTCCCACCCATCCACTCTCCCATTCACCCATCTACTCTCCTACCCACTCACGCACCCTCCCACCCTCTCATCCCCCACCCATACATGCATTCCCGCACCTACCTCTCACCCCCCCACCCACATATGCACCCACCCACCCATCCACCCACCCACCCATCCATTCACCTATTCACTTCACTGACTGGTGCTGGGCACTCCTTGTGTTGAGAACCTAGGGGTACGAATCACCATGAGGAAGGATAGAGAATTAAAGGCATGGTTTGCTTCAGAGCTACAATAGGATTCGCACTCACACAGCCAGAGAGACTTGACGACTGGACAGTATTAAGCAAACTCAACATACGGGACAGACCAACGGCAGAGACCCTGCAAGAACATCAAATGACAGCACAACCCAAAAACTGATTCCAGTTTCCTCCTAAAACAGACAAGTATTTGAGCTCACACGCTCCCCAAACTGTCAGTTATTACCCCATCTGCAGGCAAATGTCTTTCCTGAAATTCAACCAAACAACCTCCAAACTTTAAGTCTACTTGTAAATTACCTCCTCCATTTTACCCTCAGAAATTAACAATGAAATTGACAAACTTAGATCTAACAAACGTCACTATAACACTTTTAAACTATAAGAATATAAAACTTAGTTTTTACTTAAAAAGTTTTAAAAATTCTTATTAATTTCTAATGAAGGTAACCCAATTAATTTACTCATTTTTAAAAAAGATAAACCCTATTTATATCTTTTGAGAAAAAATCTTACTGTATAAATTTTGGGGTCTGAGTTACCCTGAGCAAAACTTTTTCACTAAAAACGTCAAGAATACATTTTAAGTAGAAAATCAGTAAAAAACATGAAAAAATAACCTAAGCTAAAAAGTAAGCACGAGTCTTTGTCTTTGCTGTTTATTAGGCCTGTGGCAGCATCAACGCACCCACTCTAAGTGGTCTGTCTGCGGGGCTGCAACAATGGCATAAAAGGGGCGAAAGGGCAGGCACCTAAAAGTAGGAGCCAGACTGCAGGTGGCCGAGGCC